TATTGTGTTATGTCTGGGTACAAGCCAATACAACAGACGCAGGCTAAAAGGATGAGGCTTCTTCCCAAAGACAGACAACAAAGTACCAAGGAAACTGGGAAAAAGGACATTTCTCTCTGTTCTCAAGAAGTATGGGCCAGTCCATGACTGAGCGCAGCCTGAAGAGGTCATAGTTACATTTGGTCCTTGGAGCTTTTGGGGCATTTTAGGGGCTTCCTGGTGAAGGACGTGGTGTCCTTCTGGGTGGCAGTGGTCATGATGCAGAGGAGTGGCTCTGATGCCCTTGGCATCACAAGGCAGGGTTATTCCCCCTCTGAGATCCCCTGTGGACATCCACAATTGATTGGGGTCAGATGAGGGATCATGTGGCTGGTGAGCTGCTGTGGATGGAATGTCTGTGTCCCCCAAATCCACATGTGGAAGCCCTAACCCCCAGGTTGAGGTTCCTGGAGCTGAGGTCTTTGGGGAGTGATAGGGTTAGATGAGGTCATGAGGGTTGGGCCCCATGGTGGGATCAGTGCCCTTATAAGGAGAGACATGAGACCGCTCCCTATGAGGGTGCTCATGGAGGAAAGGCCTGTAGCACATGGCCAGGATGAGCGCCTCACCAGAACCTGGCCAGGCTGGCATGGCACCCTGATCTCAGATTCCTCACCTGAATGGGAGGCGTGAATGTTGCTTGTCTAAGGCCCCGGCCTGGGGCATTCCATGACAGCAGCTGGGGTGGACTCAGGCGTGAACGGGAGAGTGGGGGCCAATGTCACCCTACCCCCCAAGTACTCACGTGGAAGGGACACTGGGAAATTGGGGAAACTCACAGAAAAGGGAAGAAATGCTTCAGAATGTCAGGAATGATGATCTCTTTAGTGGGTGTAATTGGTCCTTCTCATTTTCGTCCTTGACCTTGTGTATCTTTAGTTTTCCAAAGGGAGCAACTAAAGATGCCCTTCAGGTCCCCAGGGACTCCTGCTGGCGAGGGGGATGCATCACCGGAGGAGACTGGTGCCCGGTGGAGGCGTCCTTCTCAGAGAGCGTCAGTGTGGGCAGACAGGCACGGCAGGAATTCCACGTGTGCGATTTAGCAGGTGCTCAAGAAGATTGTCAGAGCGAATTAAACTGAAGATACAGAAGGAGAGGTGGGCAGGGTAAAGGCAGGCATCTGTGCCATCATTTTGTCAAGAGTCAGCATTCCCCTCACCCCAGAATCGCTTTCTGCTGTTACCATAAGAAATCACACAAATTTAGTGGCTTAAAACAACACAGATTTGCTCTTGCAGTTCTGGAGGCGAGAAATGTAAAACAGTTGGCGGGGCTGAGCTCCCTTTGAGGCTCTAGGAGACAATTTGTCCCCTTGCTGTTTCCCGCTTCCAAGGGCCTCCTGCAGCCTTTGGCACCTGGCCCCTCCCTGCATGGCCACGGCCGGGAGTGGGAGCATCTTCCAATCTCCCTCCCTGCCACCCCTGCTTCCGTCCTCACTTCCTGACCCTCCAGCCTCCTCTTACAAGGACCTTGTGATGACCCCTGGCCTACCTGGATACCCCGTGAAGTCTCCTCATCTTCACTCCATCACATCTGCAAAGTCCCCTTTGCCACATAAGGTAACAGAGTCACAGATTCTGGGAATTAGGACATGGACGTCCTGCCTCCCATGCCCCCTCATGCTGACCTAGGAAACTGCTACTCAGAAAATAACATGATTATAGACAATGTTTGTGGATGCGTATGACTTGCCAATGTAAAAAAAATGCACTGATGACCATTCAGAGCTGTGAACATCCTCAGAAACAGATCTATTGGGAAGGCAAAGGATACCCACTTGTGATGCGCATAATAAACAAAATAATTAAATTCTACTAGAAGATTGAATTTCTTGAGAGGCTTTGTTAGGGAAAAAAAAGCTCAGAGAGGAAAAACAGCTAGACCTCACTTGGGCAATGTTTTCTTTTTTGAGATCTTGTTTATTTTAAGTCAGAACTAACAAAATGGGGATGTTGAGTGAGTTTTAAACAGTTTCTTGTAAATGGAGTCCAAGAAGTTAGAGTGAAAATGGGCTCTTTGCTGGTATTTCCAGCCATATACCACTCAATGATTTACATAGATTCCTGTGCACATACAAATATTTGCATGCAAATGGGTTCATCCATTTACAGGTGACTGGACTTGCGTGCCAGGTATTGTGTTATGTCTGGGTACAAGCCAATACAACAGTGTTAGCACCTCCTCAGTGGCATTTACACTCTAGTGGGGTGAACAGGCAATAAAAAATGCAAAAATATGTTTGATTACCATTTGCATGGATCAGAATGAAGGAAGGTGAGCAATGGTAGAAATAATGACAAGTTACCAGGAACAGTGTCACCTGTAGTTTTTTGCTAGAGGATGACAGCATAGAAGAAATTCAGGGATAGGACCTCAGGCCCCTGGGTGATGAGGCCACAGGTGAGAGGTCTCGGAGGTCAGTCCCTGACTATCACCTACTCCAACCACCCTCGACATACCTGAGGAGATGGGGCGGGGGCCATTGCAAGGCTGTCTCATGGTTTCTCGGTTCCCGGTGGCTTTGCGTTCTCTCTCCTCTTCCCAGCTCACCCTGACCAGGCTGCCCCAGTTCCTCACACTGTAATCTAATTGTGGCCAAAGCAATTTGAGACTAAGCAGAACCTATTTTTTTCTCTACAGAAATGGGATTCTTGTGTGTCATGTTCTCTCAAAAGGAAGGTCGGTTTGCCTTGAATATGAATAAAAGCCATACGATTATATTTATGAAGCCTGTGCCTATAGCTTATATCAAAATAGTACAGACATAGCACTTCAGAAGGGGAAATGAGGCCATGGCATTCTAAGCATCCATCCATATTTCAAGGAACTCAGTGTTTGGATATCACTGGATGTGAACAAAAAAACCAACTTGAGTTATTCAAAATTATATAGAAGCACAAATAATGAATGCAAACACGAACTTACTCAATTTCTATCTTCTTTTCTGTGCTATTTGAACCAAACTCCTGGACATACCTTGTCCACTTTAAAGATTGGTACACTCGGTTTTAAAAAGAAAAATCTCTACACTTATTGGGCTAAAATACTGATGAACTCCAAAAATGGGTCTGCCCCTGTGACTCCATTAAGGGGTTTGTCCGTGTGTTTTCTAGAAGCTTGTTCTCAGCAGCTGTTTGGCACCTAACAGCCATTGAGGCTCTGGATGAAAGGCATCCGCTTAAGCACCAGTAGTGGTGGATCATCGCCCCGGATGGACATTGGAGCGCCCGGGAGCTTCGTAGAAGCGCTGCGGCACGGGCCACAGTGGACCGACCTGGGTCTCCAGGGTTGAAGTCTGGGCACCTGCAGGTTTGGAAAACTGCCCTGGTGCTTCAGGTGTACATGGAGGGCTGAAGGCCACCCAAGTAGAAGAGGTGATTTTTCAGCCAGATGGTGCTGGGTCCTCAGTTACTTGTAAAATCAAAACTGTACTAGAGAATCTTGGGTAAAAGGGAAGATGCAGTGGCACAATAACAAAGTTTAAAAAGTAATTTGTATTCTGCCACCTACTTTCCTTTTGAATGGAATTTATTGTAGAGACAGGCTTCCCAGATTTGCCAGGAAGGCAGTACTTCTGATTTCCATGAGATTTTATGGACTGACTTGATTGTTCACCTGCTGTGAAGGTCGGCCCAGAGGCCCTGGTCTTTGGGTGGAAATGCAGGCTCATTATCACGGGGCCGTCTCGGGTGGGGGCAGCGCGGGGGTCAGGAGATGGAGCCCGGTGGGACCTGGGCTTGGCTGCAGGGTGATCACCACCAGGGACTTACCGACCTCCTCCCCCAGCCCTGTGCTTCTGCCATGAGGGCCGAAGTGCGGACAGAAGGGACCTGGTCTTTGGCATCCTCTGAACCCAGATTCTGGCCCTGACCTCACCACTTTGGGTTGTATGAGCCTCATTCTCTGGTTTTAGTTTCTTGGTCAGAGAGGCGGGTGGGGAGCCCCCAGTAGGGCTCACATGAGTGGACTCCACGCACTGGCCTGCAACCCCTTCTCTGGGTCTACTGTCAGTGTGTACCTGATGGGTCCAGCTGAAGCTCACAGAGGCGGGCCTGCCCTCCCAGGGCAGCGGTTCTGTGCCCCTCACTGTCGCCCTTGGGGTAGGGGTCGGTGACTGGGGTAGGGGTCGGTGACATGGACTCCAGGACCCCCTCAGCTCAGATGAAGAACGAACGTATTTCCTCTTTTGTTCCCACCCCTGTGCCCACACCCTGGACGCCACCTCCCTATTTCCCCCTCCCAGGCCATCCTGGTCTCTGCCCCTCACCTCCCTCAGCCTGGCCCCCAACAAGCCCAGGGCTCCCTGCAGTGCAGCCCATCACTGCTTCTGGCTCAAGGGTCCTACTTGCTCTGGGTCACAGGGACCTCCTGCCAGGCTCCTGCCTAGGGTGGCAGTGACCCCTGGCTTAATCACCACCCCTCCCTGGGCCCTCACCTCTTCTCTTACCTCTGTCACAAGTCCCTGTCTGAAAATCCTGCCCTGATTTTGTTTTTCCTGATGCAGCTCGAGGGCCCTATGTAGCCCCTGACGGACACCTGCAAAGCTCTCCCTCGCTGCCGCCTCACCCCCGACTGCATCTCATCTCTCCCCTTCTGTTACAACACTTCTTGAAAGTAATGACATCCCCCAGCTGTGCACTGGGGCTCTTGCAAAGTGGAAGCAGATGCCATCACCCACCTTTGCTCACCCTTCATGCCGCCCAAACCACCTCACAGGCCTTTGGGTTGTTAGGCATTTTACTCATGATGCAGGAAGAAATAAATGACACTATCCGAACATTAGAATTCCCAGACTTTAGGAAGTTCTACTCTCAGATTGCATTTTCTGACCTCCTCAGGGGTGTCAATGATGGTGTTTTGCCAATGGGTTTCAGCCCCGGGCAACTTCACTATGGATTCAATATGACCAAAGAAATGACAGTAAAATATTCTCAGGGTGAAAAGGTTATACCCAACTTTATTCCCACGGTGGCAGGTCAGTCACTAAATCCTGTCCACTCAGAGAGTGTCTGCAGGCAGCAAGCTGGTCTCTGCCTCTGGGCTCCTTGGAGAAGGTTGATACAGATTTTGGGGAAAGGAAGACAGAATGAGTCTGGAACTTTCGTAACACTAAGGAAGGAAACCATCGGAGATCACTATGGTCACCGCAGAAGAACCCAGGAGTAGAAGAGGTGGCAGCTCAGCTACAGTGACAGAAAGTAAGTCAGTGGTTGTTGGGGACCCAGATTTGGGGAAGGGGAATGGATTACAACAGGATATGAGGCTGAGTTTGCTAGTTTTCTTCTTGAAGAGTTCTACATCCCATTGTGGGAGGGGAGGGTCCTGGTGAACCTGAACCACAGATGAAGGCTGATGTGTTTGTTGACAGGTTTGATAAACTGGGGACTTGACCACCTGCAGGCTTCCTGGAGTGGCCAGCTGGGGCAGAGCCTGGGTGCAGGGGGCAGAGACGGAAAACAGCCCTGTTACGGGCTGCTGCCTCCACCCTGTTACAGGAGCCCTCCTCCCTGATGACCCATTTTTCTCAGCTCCTGACACATATTTTGAATGTCTACATAACCTGTCCACTGAATGTCTCAGAGGCTCTCAGCTTTCCCAGATCCCAGGCTTATTCCTCGATGTCTTTCCCCTGCCTCCTAAAAATTAAAGTTACTTTCGCTGTTTCCATATATTGGAAACGTTTCCACCTTCCTCTCAGTTGCTCAACTCAGGACATGGAATGAACCTCAACTCTTTCCTTTTCTTGAGCTCCCAACACCCAGCCTATCAACAAGGACTGTCAGTCCCACCTTTAGGTATGTCCCAAATTGTCCTCTTGTCTCCCTGCCCAGCAGACTACCCACACATCTCTTTTGGGCCATGACAATGGCTTTCATACTCGTCCCCCGCAGACACACTCTCCGCACAGCATCCTCAGCGCCTTATAATGCAGACCAGACCCTATCTCTGTGGATGCTTTAGTGGTTTAAAATCCTGCGTGCCCCCTGCAGGGTTCTACAGATGGTCCCGTCCCTCTGGGATCATGTGCCACTCCCTTTGCTGCTGATTTCTTGAAAATTCCTCCTCATTAACCTGAGGGTCCTTCCGTACTTGGAATGCTCCCAGTGAGACACACCCCATGCTCTGGTTCCCATTAGTTTTGTTACCCACCACTTTATCCCCCATTGAAGATCTCCGTGAACATTTGTTGGATGAATGAATGAATGAATCTCACACCGCTGACATCATACCAACCCTTTTGTTAAATGCCTTTAAAAGCCTCCCATTTCCTATCAGACTCTACGTTGAGTCTGGAGTCAAAGCTGCTTACATACTCCCCTCCCATCTATTTTCTCAGCCTCCTATCCCATACCTCCCCCCACACCCTATGCCAGTTCCACAGCAGCCTAGCTACAATTTTCCTGGCCTCTGCAGCTCCATTTTTCCTATTAAAACTTTATCATCCTGTAAAGGTCAGCTTCAACTCACCCTTTTGTGGTGATATCTTTCCTGCTTCCAGAAGCCGGTTAACATTTGCTGGTAATGCTCCCAAGCTCTGGCTTCTTTCTGCCTTACAGTAACTCAGGGGCTTTCCTATCTTCTTTTTCCACTAGTTTGAAAGAAGAAAAATCTCTCTGTTGTTTTGTACTTTTTTTTAATATTCTAAGATTGTAGCTCATAGGAATTGCTACAGTTATTGAATTAATGAAAGCATTATCTGGTTAAAATATGGTCCCCTGCAGTTATAAGATTCTGTCCCATGGATCTTTTACAGCATGAATGTATGTTTCTCAGTATAAAGCTTTTGCTAAGGAATTCACTTTAAACCTTTCCATGGATTGATTCCCCTGGGAGCTTTCTATCACTCGTTTAATGGTGGGGACCTGGTGACAACTATAATGGGGAAAAGCAAGATTCTGCCCTGGTGCACAATGGGCTTTGCACAGTCTGGCTTTTGAGTTCTCTTTGCAAATGGAAAACTTCAAGGCTGAGAAGATAGACTATTTCCATTTGTTTTACATTATATTTGAGGACCTAAATATAAATATTCCAGCTATTCATCTCAGCATGATTTGGTTATGGAAACATAATCGGAATTGTTTAAGAGACAGAGGTGGCTTCTATTTTGGTCCTGGCACAGGAAATTCAGCCTTTGTCCATTTTCACAGTTTGATTTATGTGAGGTTAAAAATTCATAGTGTAGGAGCTAACCTCAAGCAAATATTGTTCTTTGCATGAGCCAATTCAAACGTTCTCTCGTCTCGGGTTTCCTGTTCAAAGGTTTAGAAATGTGGAGTTCAGCTGAGGCTAACCTATTTGATCTACTGAAAGTCAGCCGGCCTTCATCGTGTTCCAGGGGCTGGGCCCTAGGTGGCAAGGGGCGGGGCTGGGGCCATGCCTCTTGCAAGTGCCCTTTCTATGCCTGATGTTTGTCATCTTATTTCATCTTAGGACGTAGGCCTGATTATCTTTACTTGCCCGAAGCAGAAACTGACATAGGTTAAGCAACCTGCCTGATGAGCTTGCACCACTGCTGAATGGCCAGCCTGCCTGGCACGACCAAATGCTGTGGGCTGGGTTTTCCGGGATGATGGAGATGTCTTGGCTCACAGCCAGCCATCCTGATGCAGAGAATTCAAGTGTGCGTTTCATCTCAGCCCTGACCCCCAAGGAAGGACGGTCTTTGTTTTCTTCCTGACCACCACACCCTGGGGCCCTGTGGTTTGTGAAAGTCAGATACATGAGAGTATCTGACTTTTAAAGGGTGACTGCACGTTTTGCTGTGGCCAGGGGGCAACTCAGCCCCCTTCCCCATGGGCTGCTATGGATGCTTCACTTTTCCTTCAGCCCAGCCAGGCTCTTGCTGGTCCTGTGCACAGCCCCGCCCCGCCCACAGACCCCTCTGGTTGTCTGGAAGCGACATTCCCCAAAGCCGCTTCATCCGTGCTGTGTCCCCCTCGCCACTTTCACATTTTGCCGGCAGGGGCCCAGGGACAAGACGTGCCTGTCCCAGGATCCTGCACAGGATCGTGTGTGTGCATCCAGGCCCTGGAGACCAAACAGCACTGCACCTGCTCACAACCCTCCCCTGACTCTGGGCTGTGGGAGCCAAGTGATTAAGAAACAACGACCAAGCAAAACACCAGTGTAGGCAGACAGGGAGACGAAGGTGGCAGAGAGACCCGTGGGAGGCTCTCCATGTCAGTGCCGGACCGAGTCAGGGAGTGCCAACCTCACTCTGATGCACCACCCCTAGGGGTTTGATGGACCCTCTCCAGCTTCCTCTTCTTTCCAGTAAACGAGGACACAGATTCATGGCTTGTGTAGAGCTGCCTGACCAGGCCTGGATGTTCTCTTCCACTTCCCAACAAGACATCCTGAAAATAGAAGCATCTACCACCTTTGAAAAGTAGGGCCTGCACCGGACCTGGAGTTTGCTTGGAGTGACATTTGTATATTTTATAGAGATCAGAAGCTTTGGTTGAGGAGCGATCCACGTCCATTGTTTGCACGAGCACAGCCTGGTGAGCACAGCCTGGTGAGTCCCGGGAGGCCAAGACCCCTTGCTGCTCTTTGCTGGAGGCCACATTAATCAGAAAACCCAGCAGGCAGTCCGTCACCTTGCAGGAACTATTGTTTGAGGTATAATCAGTGATGTTCCCACTCCCAACCACCTTTATTATTTCTTTGTTTCTTCAGGTTCCATATTGAGCGTGGCTGCGAGCAGCAGGGCACAGACCACAGATCAGGGTCCCTTTGCCTCTGCCAGGTGCCCTGCAGACCCTGGGGAGGTCGGAATGGATGAAAACGTCTCTGATGGAGCCAAGATTTAATCCCTGGGGGAAGAGCTCACCACACACCAGGCAAAATTAATTAAAGCAGATCAACAGTAGACATATGATCTCTTTTGTCATCTAAAGTAATATTCTCAGGTCCCAGGGATTCAGAACTGCATATCTTTGGGGGCTGTTATTCAACCTATTGCAATGATAAAAGTAAGACTTAATAAAGATCAAGTTCACATTGATGGGACTGCTTATATTCAAATGTCCTTGGAACATTACAAAAGGGGCATAAACTTGGCTTAAAAATACCCCCAAAGCAAAAATTGTTATTTGCTGACACAGTCTTCCAAAATTCAAAGCTTAAAATAAATATTTAGAAAGAATAACCCAATTACCTGGACATTACAAATAAAATAAAAGTGCTCCGACAAAGCAAGTAAGCCAGCAAATATTATTTCAGATTACTTCAGAAACCATAAAAATGAAATAAAAGTGCTCCCACATAATGAGTAAGCCACCAAATATTATTTCAGATTACTTCAAAAATCATAAAAACGGAGACACAGCCAAGACAGCCAGAGGTTGCTGGAGAGGTTGATTTTTAACCCTAACTTCTCTCATTATCAGCTAAAAATGAAAAGAAATATGTAAGTAATCATTCAGTGCAGGGAATTAGAAAGAACATGAAATGGATGAAAACAGAAAAAAATAAATTAGAAAAGTGGTAGGTGTCTGGTATAATCAAGGAACACATGGAGAAACCACACCAGAATAAATTCAGGAGTGAGACGTGAGGGCCTCCGTTAGCATCATTACTGTCAATGTTATTTTGGAGGCTTTGGACACAGGCAGAAATAGGGAATATACAGTTGATCTGAAGAAGATGAAAGCATTATTATTTCCAGCCAATATAATTAAACATAAAAAACCCTGGTTATCAATCAAAATGATATGCGGCTCACTGATAGATTGATTCAGTGGCTGAATATGAAAATAATATGTAAAAATTAAATGTTTATATTCTCTATAACCACCTAGAAAACATAATAAATATTGATATAAATATTATTATTACTCCTACCAAGAAATGGGCAGCAACAATATGTTACATAATATGTCCTGGATGGTAGGACTGAATATTTTATATGACAGAATTTCCCAATTTATATGATATAAAAATCTCTATATAACATTTTTGGAGAAAGTTAGGTCAAAATATTTTCAAAGTTCATTTGTAAAAATAAAGTGGTAGGAATACATTTTAAATATTTTGAAAAGGAAGTGTTATGAGGGGAAGTAGCTTTTCTGAATATTAAAAATATATAAACCTATTTTAAGTTTTTAGTCCACTTAGCCCTGTTATTAGAGGGGCAGTTAAATATGTGAAGAAACTGGCAAAAGTGAATAGCTGGGTAAGTTATGGATTACATAATGGAGCACGCTCACTCTACTAGTCAGGAGGAAGTGTGCTGATTACTGAAGTATGTGGGAAAAGTCCCTCCCTGGAATTTGTCAAGGGGGATTGCAGCAGCAGCATCAATGCACTGAGAGGTAACGTGTGCTCCCCTTAGCACCCCCACTTTCCCATCTGTGCCTTGGGTAGCCTGTAGCCATCCTAGGCAAGACCCTGCAAGCTGTTTTCTAAAATAACTGAACACACCATAACCATATGGCCCCAGCAGCAGAGAATCAACAGTGGAGACCCAGCCTTTTTTCTCAAACCCAAAGAGAGAACCAAGGCCCGCCAGGAAGGTGAGGAAACCTAGATCCCCAGATGAGAAAGGCTTATACAAAGACACTAAAAAAAGAGATGCCAGAAGAAACAGGAGAATCTGGGATACAAAAGAAAACTAAGAACAATACTCCAAGTAGTAGAGAGACTTAGGATTTTGAGCTCATAAACCAAGACTAAGATGTTGTGAAAAAGAAAGAATTGCAGAACAAGGACACCTTTTAGAGAATAAGAAAATAAAGGTGAAGTCAGGAAAACCTCCTCTAGAGACAAACAGAAAATACAAGAGAAATGCTGAGATGTGAGTCATAAGAGAGGACAGAGAAAACAGTGTAACTATCATATAAAATACAGAGGGACTCAAAATGGATGAGGATATAAAACATTAGATGAAAGGGCTCCCTTCACAGCAAATTAGAAATGATTCCACCCTAAAGTAAGACTTAGGGCCTCTTTGCCTACGTAGCTGATCTTGTTTTCCCACTGCATTGATTTTTAAGAATTGCAAAGGTAAGTTCTTTAGCAAATTTCTAGAAAAATGCTCAGGTGTCAAACATTTTACAAATCATGCAGGATTTTCAGTTTATTATCACCACCACTGCCACCATCACCATCACCACCACCACCACCATATGTGTTTAAGGCTGGAAACTACATTTCCCAGAATCACTTTTCTTGTGCATTTTCTTTTACAGTTTGTCCATGAGAAGAACTTATGCAAGATTTGGAAAGCAGAAGTGATCATTGCCAGTCCTGAGCCCAAGCCTTAAGAGGCATCATGAGCTTCCATTTGCCTTCCTTTACTTCTGGCACCGTAAGGAGAAGAATATGTCCCACCAGGCCCTGGATCCCGAGGAGGATGAGAGACACGTGGAGCAGAGCCTCCAGAACCTGAAGCAAGAGCCACCCCAGTCTGACTCACAAACTGAGCAAGAAAGTATTCATACTTGTCTGCCACTGAGATTTTGTCATTGTTCGTTACACAGCACTTCCGTGACACTAGTTAACCAACACAGATGCACAGACTTTCTTAATTTTCTATCCTTGTTTTCTTTCCTTAGTTTTTTTCACAAAAGCCATATTTCACTGTAATAGTGAGATATCTCAAGCACTTTTTGGAAAAAGGTGAAGTATAGATAAGAATACTAATGAAATATTTTGGAGAATGCTACTTAATCCTTTTTGGTCTCCATGAGTGGTTCAGATGATTTTTAGAATGGCATTGTGTGACTGATCTTAATGCACTTTGGAATGTAGCCATTAAGGAGAAGTCTAGGATAAAGAAGTCAAATGAGAATAATGTCAAATCACTTCATCCACAGAGAGAAGAATTTTGGAGCAAGAAGCCAGAAAGAATATTTCAAGCAGGTGATGTATCTTAAAGTCATGCAAATGAGGTAATGGCCAAGTTGAGGATAGTCACTGGTGTGTGGATTTGTCCTACTCTTTTTTTTCCAAGGGATCTCATGGTTATATGTTTTTTATACATAAAAATTTTCTTCTGCTTTTCTTCTCTGATTCCTTTTATTGTTTTAAGATTAATTTTAGTTATAAATTCTAGAAGAGGGAATCTCAAAAGTCATAGCATAATGAAATCTTAAGCAGGATTATGTTATAATTTATTACAATTATCTTCAGTTTTTTAGGTGAAAGTGCTAACATGCCTTAGAATTCTTTTTATTGTCCCTCATCCTCCAAATGTAACTTTTTATGGCTTTTCTGTACATGGGATCAGAACATTGCTAATGCTCAGTGATCTGAGATCATAGCACCAATTGATAATGACAAAAAGATATCAATCACCTCAAATAAGAAACCCTGGGGAAATCAACAGAAGTAGAAAACTATATATTTTGTGCAGAGGCTTAAAAGAAGGAAAACTTATGGCTTCATCAGATCTTCTGTACATTCTGCAAGCATAGAGCAGGTCTGTGTAATTTATTTTGAGACTGTACGCCTGTGCTGAGATGCAGCAACTGCTGACCGTGCCATGAATCATTAACCCTCCTGCCATTCAGGCAGACAGTGGTTATTGACATGGCCATGTGGGGAAACAACTGAGGGTCTCAGCCCTTGGGAGACCCTGCTAATGGTGTGTGGACCAGCAGGTTTTCCTCCCTTTTGTAAAGGTGACTTTGTCCCCTGGGTTTGTCTGGTCCTGTGCGGCAGTGGTGAAGTCCCACGTAGGAATGGTTGTTTCTCCCTCCAAGCTCTTTTTTATAGTGTTTGGAACGTATGCACCTGGGTGAGTGGTTTGTTTTTTTTTCCTTTTGAGGGCAGACTGCATTTGACGAAGATCAAGGAAGGGGCAGGTGAGGAGGGTGACTGGTGGCACATACATGGAGAATTAGATGTGGGTTTTTTGAGACCCAGCTGAACCCAGAGTACAGCGCTGTTCAGACACCTCCTCCCTGTTCCTCTGATGAGCCTCGGGAGGAGCGGCGGCTTTATGCACGTGAGTTGACCCACCGGCTGAGTTCCCGCGAGAGCCGAGGCGGAGCTGCGGGGCACGGCATCTGCGGTCCCTGCGCAGAGCAAGGCAGGGCCATGTCCGGCCTGCCGGGTGTTCCAGCCGGTGCCTAGTGGCAGGCATGTGGGCACTGAGGGACCCGGCGAGAGAGAGAGAGGAGGGACCTGCTTCGGTTTTACTGCGGTGTAAATGCAGCTTGCTGCAAACATGTGGTAAGGAACAAAGGAGAAGGGGCTGGGGGCCGTGAGCCGGGGCGTACGGCCGCACAGCGGGGCAAAGAACGCAGCACCGGAAGCAGAGGGCAGGACCGGAAGCAGAGGGCAGGACCGGAAGCAGAGCGCAGGACCGGAAGCAGAGGGCAGGACCCGCCAGAGACCTTGACAGCTTCCCTGGCTCTCCGTCTACCCAGGTGAATGTGGCTGGTGCGTGGACGAGCTGAGGTAGGCAGGCCCTTGGATTCTTTGACTCATCAGGGAAAGGAGGTAGGATTCTTGGAAAAGAAGAAAAAAGCTGTTCTTACAGGGTGAGAAGGCTGGAACCACTTGATTTTAAGAAGGAAGATTTGACCTACTGTTTAAGGCAGCCTGAGGGAGCGCATAGAGTCTGTTTTAGAGGCCGTAACTTAGTGAAGTGCAGCAGGTTTCCCACCCCTGGCACGTGCACAATGCTGAGAAGTTCTGGGATGTGTCATAAAACACACAAATAGCTCGAAGATTATGTCAGAGGAACAGGATTTATATAATGTCCTGCTACACTCAGGGTATGGTGAATGGTACAAGCAGTCAGCAGTCGGGGATGGGGGAGGAAGAGCACATTGATGGGCATTTCCGAACTTACAGGGGACGTCAGACATGCCACGCAGCAAATCACCGCCAAATTCGCCGCTGAAAATCCGCAGCTTATCGTCGTTATTTGCAGATTCTGTATCTGCTCAAATTTATTTGCTACCTCAAAAAATCAATACCGTCACTGGTTTCGGGGCCACTTGCGGATATGTGTAGAGTGGCAAGAAATTTGTCACCGATGTACATGTCCTCGGCTGAGGTCTAGGAAGGCAGTGTTTCCGCTCTCATACTGCAAACGAGCCCCTTTGGTGGTCTCTTTAGTGCCCTATTTCTGCATGTACTCTTTATTGGTGATTTCACTACGGAAGGGAGCCCTGAGCGCAGTGCTGAAGTGCTGTCTGGTCCAGCAAGAAGGCTGCTATGCGCCCCATGGAGAAAATACGTGTTGCAGATAAACTTCATTCAGGCGTGAGTTAAATGCTCTTGGCAGTGACATCAATGTTAATGAATCCACAATGTACATTAAATGAGGTGTCTTTGAAAACAGATACACGTAAAACAAGGTTATGGATCGATGGGTTGAGGACAGTGCTGGGAACAGACCCTGGCAGGAACCTAACCCTGAACTTCCCCAGAAGCCATGGCACTGATTCATTTTTCACCATGACTTCATAGAACATAGAACATAGCTACTGTGCAAAAAGAGAACTGACTGTGCATTTATCTCATTTAGTCTCTCAGTTTCTGTAGGTCAAGGGTCTGAGCATGGCTTCACTCTGTCCTCTGCTGGGTCCTCGCCAAGCTCATGTGATTTTTTGGCAGGATTCAGTCCCCTGTGGCCACAGGACTGACGTCCTGTTTTCCGGCTGATGTTTGCTCTCGGCCCCCTGCAGTTCTTTGCCACAGCCCCTGACAGCGCGACTGCTCACTTCTTCACACCAGTGGGAGAATCCTTTGCTCTAGTTGCCCATGCGAGGGTCTCCTGTAGGGTAACATAGTTATGTGAGCAACTATCCTGTATAACATAACCTTCTCAAAGGCACATCCCACCACCTTTGACATATTCTGTGGGTTAGAAGCAAATCACAGGTTCAACTCACACTCACGGGGAGAAGATGACACATAGATGCGACTTGCTGAGGGTCACATGAAGGTGTGCTTGCTGTAAAGGTGTACCAGAATCTTCCAGACGATTCCATAGGAACATGGGGGAAGATGAGATACCATGGTTTACTTGGGAAAGATTTAACAATTTTGAAAGCAACGTCTACAGAAGCATCTGCATGTCACTTGTGAGTGTGTGAACACTTGGGTCCCATCCAGCTCTGTCACTACCTGTGGGCAAATCACTGGGCCTCCATTTGTCATCTATAGAGTGGGCCACACAGTTTGAAATCTTTGGGTAAGTGAACTGCAGACATTTTTAAACAATTACAGTGGTAAATTCATAGGATCAAGGGGTCTGCAGATCCCTCAGACTGGCGGACAGGCCTCCAAGGAGATCCTACTCGTCCTCTTCCATCTGTTAAGAATTTTTCAAGGGTCCCTGTTTCATGATGTGGTTTCAGTGGAATTGAAAGGCCCAGAATTACAGAAACAATTCTATTTGCGTTTAGCTAGGCCTCTGTCCACACTGAGCCCACAATGTGCACGCACACCACTGCCTGACAAGCCCACAGATGAGGTGCTCAGAAAGGTCTGTTCCACTTCTGGAGCCTGCTGCTTAATAAGAATCGGGGTGAAGGATGGGCACAGGGCACCCAACGCTGTTTGGTTATGAGTTCACATGTCGTCATGGATGACTCCAGAGGCACCATGATTATTGCCCTAATATCTGGTGGTCTTTGTAGAGCAAAGGATGCAGCCTTAAGTTACCCAGGCTTCCTCCTCAGTCTAGAGATGAAGCAGGGAACTGGGTTTGGGGTCTCTTCCCAGTGCATCAGTGTGTGTGGCCTCCTTAAGCTTCGTTTGCGGGGGATACACATCAATGGAGATCATTCTCTTTAAGAATCGCACACTGCAGTCCTTTTGTTTAAGAACTGCTTTGTTTCGCTTTTATTGGGAGTCAAAAGGCATTAGCCACTGAAGCTAGGCTTCTTGAGCTGGGCATTCAGACACAGACCACAGATGGCCGGACAAAGACTAATGCTTGTGCTCCAGGCCGGATTTGCCCCAGGACCTTCCTCTGATGGGGCATCTTTCACTAACATTTGCTCTGTCAAGGCCAACTTTCCCCGAACAAAGGCTTCTTTCTATACAGATGACTCCTAATAACCACCCCCCATTTTTTTCCCTGTGAGAACATTTGTTTCTAACCCTTTCCAGAAAAATACATTCCTAACTTCTAAATTCACTGAGAGGCAACAGATATTCTGCAGAGACACTGAGTGTTAGCGGGAGTATCACAGTCCCGCCTGATTAAACCAAGTCCTGTCACTCAGATCCCATGTTATTTCTCTGCAAAACGAAAAGGCTGAGCTGGATGATCTCCAGGTTCCTTTTTTCTACTCTAAAATGCTAACGTGGGTCCGAGACTGGAGGATAACCACTGCTTCCTGCATTCCGGCACTCCAAAACACCAGGAGTGCCTGCTGAACGCCCCAATTCCCGGGCCCCAGGCAGTGCAGCGGGGTCAGAATCCCAGGGGGTGGAGTCTGAGCATTTGTATTTATAGCAAGCCCCCAGGTGTTTCTAACGTACAGTCAGATTTAGGAACAACGAGGCGGCGTTGGTTTGGAACGCAAGCTGGAGTGGCATGTTTCTGCTTGCGAGAATGAGCGATCCATTCCGAACAGCAGCAGGAGAGCTGGCTTGTTCCGCTGGGTAAGCAGTCTCTCTCTTCTTTCGGACACAGGTGTGGTGGTATTAGGCCCAGGAAGAAAACACAGCAAGTAGCTTTGCAAAACAATGAGCTCTTACTTGAGCAACTGGCCTCTCCTCCCCCCTAGACTTTATCCAGGCCCCAGCCTCAGTAGTGTGCAAATACAAGCTCAGACATTGCTGACCATCAAAATTGTGACAGCTGAAAGAAGTGAGTAACTTACTGTCTTGCCAATGGGTTTCAGCCCTGGGCAAGCTCACTATGGATTCAGTGTGACCAAGAAATTCATAGCAAAACGTTTTTTGGGGTGAAAGGGTTTTATTACCCGGCTTGTTCTCCCAGCGGTAGGTCGAGCACTAGCATCTCTGCCTCCGCCCGGAGCGCTGGGCCAAGCTGTCTACATAGCACAATAATAGCTTATTACCTAAAAGTGTGGAAGTGGCAGCCCAGCAACAGGCCAGTTACATCATCAGGTGGTTTAAATTCAGTGAGGATCCTGGCCATAGGAACCCCAACTTCCCCACACTTATAAACTCCTGTGGCCCTTCTTCATTTCGACAGCTCCATCCTTTTTGTCAATCTACCTGAAGGAGATTGAACCTCGAGTTATTTATCTTATTTTATTTGGGGACTGGAAGACAGCCTTCCTATTCACTTACCTGGTTTTCACTCATGAGGACACAAATCAAAACTCTATCAGAAAAGTAATAGGTGCCACTTATCCTTGTCTTGAGGACAGTGGAAGCCCAGGGATCATCCTGCCGACGGGGAATTGAAGGAAGCCACTCTCGCCTTTATTGTTGTGAAGCTGCTTCTCCCTGGAGGCACCGTGGTTTTTTACCCACTTGGGTTATGAAGGAAACTTCTGGTACTGGCACTCTTTATTATGGGGAAAATAAATAATAAAGAGAGTTTGCCTGCAACCAGGCCCGGGTGAAATAGTGAGTGGTCAGTGCAAGGGGCTGTGGAAAGCAGGTCGTCCATGTGCTGGGGACGTCCCTGGGAGGTTGCGGTTGTCATATGCACACTCAGGTCCCCAGGGGATCACTCTGAGACCTCAGCGTGGGCCATGTTGCATTCTAATGACTGGGGGTGTCATTCTGAGGTTGTCAGCTCTTTCAGGGAACAGGGCTGATGGGTTTCGTGCGCCATCTCTGATGGGTGGTGGAGGTGAATGCCACCTCGTGTGGTCCAGCATGCTCGATTTCCTTCCTACAATGTTTGTTTTGTTTTGTTTGTATTACCAGAATGGTGGTGAGGGAACAGAAAACAGTCTAGCAATTTGGAGTAGATAAACTCAGTGACACAGAAAGCTTCTATAAGTCTTCTCAAAAAGCGTCTTACAGTCTTGAAAAATGATCTTGAAATGTACTTTGGTCTCACCCAAATGAATCCTCAATTCTTCTTCTCTTTTTATGCAAAACCTTGGAGTTGCCAGTAGAGAGCACCCTGACAGCTGTAGAACAGGACCCTCCCAGGCCAGCTCCCTTGTCAGGCTTAGAAGTGGACAGTGGCTGGGGTCAGTGGTTTCCTCTGCTCTGGGCTGCAGGGGGATCATTCATCTCTAGGGTGAGGGGTCAGGTTGGGATTTGTGGGGAAGGAGGTGAGGTTATGAGATAACGCTGGGCCCATGGATGCAGGACCCCACTTCGACCTCAGCCATCCTCCGCTCCCCTCCCTGTGAGGTCGCTGAGGGGGCAGGTGCTCAGGGACAGTCTCAGCTGTGTGTCAGTGTATCACCAGCTGGAGATCCAACTGCACTTCCAAACTCAGCCTAGTCTTCAGAGCTGAAAAGTTTGGGCCACATGGTGAGCCAACCTTGGCCTGAAAAATGAGACCAGAGAAACCTTTTCATCCTGAGACTGAGATGTGGTCGTTGCTGGGTGTCTGTCCCAAGCCACCCACAGGTCGGGGACATGCTCATGTGAACATCTGACCTCAGCCACAAGAGGAGAAGAAGAGAAAGGGAGCTCAGAAAGCCGAGGAGAGGCGGTCGGGAATCTAGCCGTGCTACTGAAACGGAACCCTCTTGAGGAGGAAATCCATACCCTTTCCCTGGCCTTTAACTTCTCGCCTGGAGGGCTGTGGCCTGGGGTAAGATTACATTCATTTCATCCCCCTTTCTTATCTGAACTGGGGAAGGGGGATGGAGACGAGATGGGGAGGGAGGAAGGCTTGAGCCAGTCTCTCCATCCTTGTTTTCTCTCTGAGAGGCCAAGAGACTTAATAGAGGGCCTGGGGTCAGGCCGGAATGTTGTCTTTCTGTAACCCTGGGATGTGGGCATGAGCAATATTCCAGAGACCTGCCTGCATCCCTGTGGGATGGCCCCCTAGTCCTTGCCAACACAGCTCCTATCCTTAAGGGCTCAGCAAATGCGTTTTGATAATTCCACCAGAAGATTTCAAGTTGTCCGGGACACGCCTTCTACTAAGGCTGCCCAGTGGACACTACATGCAAGGTGGAGAAGAGCCCTCTGCTCTGCTCGTTGCACCCAGTCCTGGGATCTGCAGACATCCTCCAGGGTCAGCCCCGCAGCGGGACCCCCAGCGCAGGACAGCACCAGTCACATAGCAAAATTCTGCCAGGAAAATACTTGAACAAATTCTTACATAGTGAGTAAGTTCTTACATGGTGAACAGTACAAGGGCAGTCATCACAGAAACTTTTGGTTTTGATCACGCATTATGAACTGTAAACAATCAGGTCAAATATGAATATTCGTTTGATTTTTATACTTGATTTATATCTGCCAGGAAAATACTATAAAAAAAATGACACAGAACCACTTTATATACCTATTAGAATGGCCAAAATTTGGAACACTGCAAGTGCTGGCAAGAATATGGAGAAACAGGAGCTCTCATTCATTGCTGGTAGAACTGCAAAATGGTGCTGCTTAGAAGAGTCTAAGAGTTTCTTACAAAACCAAGTATATTCTTAGCAAATGATTGAGCAATTGCACTCCTGGTTATTTACCCAAAAGAGTTGAAAACATCTGTTCACACAAAAGCCTACCTATGGATATTTATAGCAGATTTATTCATAACTGCCGAAACTGGGAAGCAGGCACAATCAATGTCCTTCACTAGGTGATGGATAAATAAACTGTGGTCCATCCGGACAATAGAATATTATTTAGGATTCAAAAGAAATGAGCTGTAAAGCCATGAAAAGACATGGAGGAAACTTAAATGCCTATGACTAAGTGAAAGAAGCCAATCTGGAAATGCTACATAGTATGTGATTCCAGCCTTACAATATTCTGAAAAGGCAAAACTATAGAGACAATAAAAATACCAGTGGTTGTCAGAGGAGAGGTGAGTAGGCAAAGCACAGAGAATTTTTAGGGCAGTGGAAATACCGTGTGTATTATAATGATGGATATGTGTTTGTAAACCCAGAGAATGTACACCAAGAGTGAACTTTAATGTAAACTGTGGACTTTGGTGACTGTGGTGTGACAATGTCGGTTCATCCTTGGTAAAAACGTACTATTCTAATGAGTGGTGTTGATAATGGGGGAGGCTTTGCATGAGTGGGGACGGGAATATGGAAAATCTCTGCACCTTCATCTGAACCCAGCTTCCTTTAAAAAATGTCTTAGAAGAGTGAACCAGATTTGCTGTTCTCACATAAAACTTAACAATAACCTCCCCATTATTCCTCATATATAGTCATCAAATAGACAAAAACGCATTGCATTCCATAACCTCCATTCTTATTACTTCACTGGAACTGACTTATTTCCTTGAGATCCTCAAAAGCTGCATTTTCCCAACACCGAGTCTTTCCTGTCCTTCCCCCGAAGACTCAGAGGGTCACGGGAACATAAGAAGATAGCTATACCAGCCCCACGTCCACCAAATCCAGCCCATGTCACAAAGCGGCCACTTGACTACTTCATGGGATGCTTCTAAACAGCATGAATCCCGAGACGAGGAGGCTGGCTGGCTCCGTACCAGCTCGTGCCAGCCCCGGAGCACGACCAGTGGGCGCTTTCCTGGACTGCCTCAGCTTTTTCCGTGAAGGGCCTGATAGTAAATATTTTAAGCTTCGCTAGTCCTAAAGTCGCAATCACAACTGCTCTGCTGTTGTAGTGAAAGCAGTGGTGTCTGGCTCTGTCCCAGTAAAACTCTATTTAGAAAAACAGCCGACCATGTTTGGCCTGGGGTGGTACTTGGTGAATCCGTGCTGCAGCGTGGGAAGGGTGGGCCAGCGGGTGGGACCCCTCCTGTCTGTCGCCCAGACACACCCCCTTGTCCCGGGTGGCTCTCCCTTCAGGGTGAGGCCCTCACGCGTGGCCTTGGCTGGTCCAGGGACAGGCCTTACCTAAGCCTGGCTGCTGGGGTTTCTCTCTAGGACTGGTTTAACGTGAACACGGGGAAGGGCTGGTTGCCCTTGGTGGCCCAAGCCATAAGATGGGAATCCCAGGCCCTGTTAGCAGGCACGTTCTCCTCCAGGTGAAGGAAGCACATTTGTGCTAAGGGGAAACAGAGCCGGTGCTCAGCACAGTGAGGGCTCAGGACGGAGAGAGGGAACCTGTGGGCCGCCAGCTCATTGCCTTCTCATAAATCCCTCTTTGTCCTCCAACTAGTATGAGCTGAATTTCTGTTAGTTATAACTGAAAGAATCTTCATCGATTTTCCAGCTCACATCCTATAGGACCCAGTTATCCCCAATAATTAGCACCACAGCTTCTCCTGGTCTCCTGGGTACCAGTGTGGTCTCAGTCTTGCTTCCTTACTACGTCCTAAGGGAGTTTGTGGGTGTGCCTTTGCCTTGAGGATGCAGGCACGATTCGCATTTCAGGGACAGCGCCAGCACACACGGGCCCGCGTTGCCTGAGTGGGCACGGCAGCCGTAGTTTCTCTATTCCAAACCCAGACACTGACTGATGATTTCCCAGCTCCAGAGCAGTTCTCTGCCTTGCGGAGATCAACCATTGGGCAGGATTTACAACTTGCAAACGAGGCTCTCCTGGGGCCGCACTGGGCCAGACAGGCAGGTACACTACACCTTCGCTCACACCAGTTTCCTGGATGTGGCCACCGCTGGGGGATTTGCCAAAGACCAGGCTTTTGTCTGTACACGGAAGCAGGAAGACTGAACCAGCCCTGGATTTTCTGAGGGGAATTACCCGTCTTGTCCCTCAGTCGAGCTGCCTTGATCCCCTGAGCTGGGTCTGTGGCACCTAAGGGGGATTTGCAGGCTCCTGGGTCCCGCCCCCAGGACTTGGAGTTTGTCATCAGGAATGTGTGAAGTCAGGGGAGAACCTCTAGTTCCCACACTCTGGTCATTTGGGAGAGTGAAAGACCCGGGGGAGGGAGCTCAGTCATCACTGGAATCTTTTTATTTCAGAATTTTTCAGGGTGGTGGGCCACACACATTCAGATGATCACAGCCAGGCCTGGGCAGGGGGTGAGGAAAAGCTCTCTGGTTTCCCAAATTTTCAGCCCTGAGATTTTGATAGGAGTGGCACCACTAGCCCTCCACAGAGCTGCCTTGGTGTGGGGGGCCCCAGGATGAGTGAGACCTGAGAAACAGCCGTGTCATTCTGGGCAGCTTTGTGTCCCTGTGACATGGGCTTGGTTACCGCTGCTCCAGGAGCCGGGGAGGACTCTGCCCTTAATCTTGAAGGAGACCTTCAGCGGCGCCAGCCTTTGCTAAGCTTGCACATGTGTCCCAGCACCTGCGGCTTAGGAGCCTGGATGAGGACCCAGAGAGGAGAGGCCCTGTGAGCAGACTGCTTACGTCCGGGACGACACAGGTGCCGTGGTCACTAACACGGGCTTTGTCAGCCAGCACTTTGAGTGTTTTATCTGGGGGCCCCGTTTACAGGCACTCTGGTGAGAAAACTCAAGATGGGAGAGTGCTCAGTGCAGAGTGAGGCCTGAGGCTGAGGGCACGTGGGTGCCGGGCCTCACCAGCTGGGCCTCTTTTCTCAAGAGCCAGCCTAGGGGGGCTTAGCAGGCCGGAGTTTGAAATAATCTGATGCCCATAAAAATACATACTATTCATAAAATACAAAACTACATTAAAATACACCTGCTTTCTGTAGTGGATGCTCAAAACAAAATTTGTTTAACATTCAAAAGCGATTGTGCCATCATGGCTGAAGGCAACTTGAAGTCCTCAACTTGGGAGGCTCCTAACTGCAAAGCATTCCAGAGTTGGCTGAGGGCACCCCAGCTCCCTTCTCCTGGCTCTGCTTGCTGCTGCCCAGACCTGGGACCTCACAGCACCCCCTGCACAGGCCACACAAGCATCGTCCTACCCCAGGACTTGGCGCTAACAGGGCGTGCTCCGGGGGGCTGTGCACCACAGCTCACTGCTCAGGCCGACTCAGGGAGAGAGGGGGGCCCAGCGGGCAGCAGCCCGCTCCATGTATTGATGGGGATGAGAGTGCCATCGACAGTGACACTGAAGAGGCCTCCTCTGAGCAGCCGCTGTGTGTGAGGACGGCTCTGATGTACATGCGTGTGTCTCCTCGGCCCCGAGAGATTTCCCTGTGCGCTCTGAGTCAGCTGAGGCCTGGGAGAGCCGTCGGTCTGGTCTTCATAAAGCAGCCCCTCTAGTGCATCAGCCTCTCTTTGCTTTCACCTCTGCCGCCGGCCCCCAGCCTTGTGTTCAGGTCTGAACTGCTGCCTTAATGGCCACATGGACACAGCAGGGTCTCAAGGACAGGGGCCCAGGCCATCCATCTTCTTGGGCCTGGAGTCCAGGGACATTCCTGCTGCTGGCTTGCCCGGCCTCTCGCTCTGCTTGGCCTGGCCCCCCCGAGGCTCCCCTGAACTCTCATCTGGCTCTCTCTTGACTGTGACAT